GTTGCCCTCCACTGATCCCCACTAGGAATGGTTGTGCTGGAAGGACAAGAAGCATAAAAGCAGAGAAAGCACACATACACATGTACACAAAATTAGACCTGAGTGGAAAACAATCACAAACTGGTTTCAAACCTTAGCAGCACCCTCCTGGCAGCACTGAAAGAACTGAGGAAGAACTCAGGAGAGAGCTCCTGAGGAGAGAGAACTGCTTTTTCTTCACACATGAAGATCTGGGATTTCACTGCCACTCTTTTATGTGGACTCTTGTCCAATGTGCAGGTCTGTATGGGAATTTTGCCAATCATTCAAACTTTTCTGGTTCTACGTCAAGACCAAGATCTTGGTTAGAACTTTGGAGTTTCCAGGTTGAATAAGATAAGGCATCTGAGAGTAAAAATAATTAATGGAGTAAACATCTTATGGAAATAGTTTTAATGAAATGAAGATACAATTTCTAAAATAAAAGTATAAAAAGGATTTAATAAAGATGCTGACTTTCAAACATATAGTTTGATATTTTAGTCTCATACACACTATTGCTCTTGGGGATTAAGGAATATGCTCAGAAATATATGTCTTTTCCATCAGTTACCCTAAGAAGTGATAGGCACCTAGAAGATGTTCAGAGGTTAATACTTCATTGATTAATTATTAACACCTTATGAACCAGCACATTTTCTCATTTTCAGGATAAGACATAGTTACCTAAATGCAATGATGAATTCATGTATATATTAGCATTAATATTCTGACAATAAAAATTTATGTTGAAGTTATTAAAGTGTATTTGAATTTATGAATAGGTTACTTTGGTATTTCTGATTTATAGTGACAGTGATTTTTAATTTTTAATTTTTATTTATTAATTTTTTATTCTCACCCAAGAACCTTTTTTTTTCATTGTTTTTAGAAAGAGAGAGGAAGGGGTAGAGAGAGAAACATTGATGTGAAATGGAAACAACAATCGATTGCCTTCTCATCCATGCTCGGCCATGCCTGACTGGGACTGAACCATAACCTGGGTATGTGCTCTGACTGGGATTTGATCCTGCCACCTTTTGGTTATGGGACAATGCTCCATCCAACTGAGCCACACTGGCCAGTGTTAGTGACAGTGTTTTTTAAATGAGTTGATTACAAGTAACTACAGAGTAGTACACAATAAAAAAATTGGTTTGATATGAAAAGAATGATATTTCTCAACAATAGCTGAATTCAAAATGCAAGGCCCTATTATTAGTCTTATTATTTAGTGTTACATGGTTATTCTTCGCACACAGGAATAAGAACATGAAAACATTTCTTTTCTAAAGTACTCAGAAAAAAAGTAACTGTCAATCTGAAGTTGTAAGTCATTTTTATCCTGTTTCTATTTTGTTACACTAAGTTTATTTAATTTATAAGTATTTCTCTCAGAAATTGTAAGTAATCTTTAAACTTTCAATAACAAGCAATGTGTCTCACAGATCAGAGTAATTTTTATATGAGTAAGACATTAGATAGATCCTAAGGCAAAAAATGGAGGTGGCAAACTTTCTTAAAAATAAGTAAATACACACACATACATTTAGATTTGGAAAATATACAGAGTGTGGCAAAAGTAGGTTTACAGTTGTTTGTATGAAAAATAAATAATTAATAAATAATATTACAAGGATAAACTTACAACAGTAAGCCTACTTTTGCTCCACCCTGTATATTTTTAAAAGCAAAATTATCAAGAGATTATCCTATGTTGTATTATTCTCTACATGCAATATATAACTTAAAAGCCATCTCTCTTCATGGTACAATATTGAAACTAATAAACTACAGCAATAAATAAAATGTGCCATAAAAATATTCCCTGATGGAAAATGACATCATCTTTCAGTTACACTTTCAAAGTAATTGAAAAAATGTCCTGGCTGCATTCTTGCTCATTCTCTTGTTGTTCCCCTCTCCATGTGTATGCTTGGGTACGTATGTGTCTTCTCTCCTTACAGTGAAGGAAAACTATTAGCTGAGTTCCCAGCAGGTTCATTCAGATTAAACTCTCAGGTAGACCAAGTTTCTTCAACTGCACACCTAAGAGGACATGATGGTGTTAAACTCCAGAGATAGGGGACCTAAGCTTTTCATATGGGAACTCTCCAAATACACTAATAAAAGATTGAACTTTCATAGAGCATTTTTTAAAAAAGATTTTATTTATTTATTTTTAGAAAGAGAGAAAGGAGGGAGGAAGAGAGGGGGAGAGAAACATCAATGTGTGAGAGAAACATTTATCGGTTGCCCCTCTTGCCATGCAGGACTGGCGCACAACCCAGGCAAGTGCCCTGACTGGGAATCACAGGAGATCTTTCACTTTGTGGGATCTCACACAACCAACTGAGCCATGCCTGTCAGGGCTCATTTGAGCATTTTTAATGCTTCTGTTAAATAATGAACTACCTGAAAAATAAATATTATTCATTTATGACACTTCTAGCACAAGTTATTGCATTATTGTAAAGCAAAAAGAACAGTTAAGAAATTAAAATTTTAAAATCTCACCCAAGGATAGGTTTTTATTCATTTTACAGAGAGAAATGGGGAGGGAGGATGGGATGGAGGAGGGCAAGAGAGAGAGACAGAGAGGAAGAGAAACATCAATGTGAGAGAGAAACATGGATTAGTTGCCTCCTGCACTGCAATGTCCTGGCGGGGGATTGAACCTGCAACCTAGGTATGTGCCCTGACTAGAAATTGAACCCACAAACTTTCTGGTGTAAAGGGTGATGCTCCAACTGAGCTAACTGGCCACGGCAGGAAAATTAATTTTTTAACCTAAGGACACTGCTTTAAAAATTCTGCATCTTTCCTAAGTTGCACTGAAAATCTCAAATGATGATTTAACTGTCTTAATAAGTCTTGACTGCACTTTATTTTAAAAGTAATACCAGTCACATAAAGAAAGAAAGCCAAACACAGCAAGCTAATGTACTTCCTTAATATTTTTAAATTATTGTATATGCTACATAAACACATTTATGCAGCCACTATTTTTTTTAGGAAAAGACATTTATTTTGCTCTGTAAGCAAGAGACAGTACTTTAAGTATCAACTGATGTTGAAGTGGAGCCATCAATTACATGGATTTTTTGCTGCAATACGTTTTTATAAAGAAACAAATTAGAAAAGGTATCATGGTGGGTTTATTCCAAAAACTAACTTTGGGGTTACTTACTTGGCCAATATGAAATCAGTGTCATCTTTCCTGTTTTCTGGATATTTAGGCTACACAATGAGAATTGATTTTCTGAGTGATAGCCCTGAGAACTTGCATCGGTCTCACTTATCAAAGAAAGATTCAATTATGTGCCTATATTGTACTTACCAAGGAAGAAAGCAAGAGAATAAGTTTACAAAAGGCTCCTCAAGAAAAGTTTCTATAACCTTCAGTTACCTAGATTAGCACATCTAGATAATTCAGAGTGCCCATTTCTCAGTGGTTTGTGAAATATGGACTTATGGTATAAGAATTTTTATTTTTAGCAGTATCTAGATATATTCCCAATGACCTTCCAGTTTATTACATAAGCAGAAGAGGTTTTTAATTAAAAATATATGTGGTGGGACTAAAGTAAGTTTACAGTTATGAGTGCATAACTCATAGTTTGTTCTTATATTATTTATTAATTGTTGCATAATTTTTCATACCCAAAACTGTAAACCTATTTTTGCTCCCCTTCCCCATAGTGCTGAGTAAAATTAAAGACTCAAACAATATATAAACAGAAGTACTAAACATCCCCAGGAGGCTGTGTTTATCTTTTCAGTTTCCAGGCGGTTTTGCAGGAGAGGTTTAAGGCCTAGATGGGCGGCTGAACTAGAGACTCCAAAGGATCTTTGGCAATCTTGACATTGTGTGACCTACAGAACAATGACAGCTAATTGACCAAACCTGAGGGTCTTTGATTTCCTTCGTGTGTTCTCAGTAAAGAGTAAATTAGTAAAAAGCACTTAAGTACATAATACTACTGAAAGTAAAGAGTTACAGCAAGATGATAAAACATAGTGCATTATGTTCAGTATCAGGAAAGGTAATGGTTACATATATAAAAACAGCTTCTTTTGGTGTGAACTGGGAATTCATGCTTTGCCAGAAACACCTCTATTCTATAAAAATGGTTTCATCACAAAGGGACCCCTCCTGTACTGTTGGTGGGACTGCAGACTGGTGCAGCCACTGTGCAAAACAGTACTGAGTTTCCACAAAAATTTAAAAATGGAACTGCCTTATGACATAGCAATTCCACTTCTCGTGTATGTATCTGAAGAAACCCAAAACATGAGTTCGTAACAGATGTGACCGTGTGATCACTGCAGTGTTATTTACGATTTCCCATCAATAGATGGATGGATAAGAAAAGCTGTGGTACATATATACAATGAAATATTACCTAGCCATTAAAAAGAACAAAATTTTACCATTCGCACCAGCACGGATGGACCTAGAGGGTATTAAGCTGAAGTCAGTGAAGTCAGTGAAGTCAGTCAGGAAAAGACAAATACCATAAGATTTCACTTTATATGGTATCTAAAGAATACAATAAAGAAACAAACAAAACAGAAGCAGACTCATAGATACAGAGAATAGACAGATGATGTTTAGGAAGAGTTGAAATCTTTTTCATATCATGGGGTTTAATAGGCTTTAAGCTGCTGGTCTTGGAACCTAACGGACTGAAGTAACTTTGTTTCTATGGGAATGGACATTCTCAGTTCCAAATGGCACACATACAAATGCACTTTGGAACATAGCATGTTACCTCAGGGTTCCATGGGGCCAGGCAGTGGGCACGGAGGCTGGCAGGCAGTCCCCAGACTGGTGAGTGGCTGAGCCTTTTTGAGAGGTGAATGAACCTAAGCCAAGGCACCCAGTCTGAGGAGCTGCTGAGTCACCAACAGAGACCAGCTCCAGCCAGCCAGTGAACAATTGATGCCCTCTGCTCACATGGCCCCCCTGGGCCTGTGCCATGCTGGTCACTGTGTACTGTGTTCAGAGGGACCTCTCCGAGCTAACTTTCTCCCTCCGGGTCCGCCCTGACTTTGAGCTCCGCAATTTCCGAGTTCTCTGTGAGCTCGAGTCTGGCATCCCTGCTGAAGAGACCCAGATTTTCTACATGGAGAGGCTCCTCGCCGACGACCACGCTTCTCTGGGCTCCTATGGCCTCAAAGACGGCGACGTGGTTGTTTTACTTCAGAAGGAGAATGTAGGACCTCAGCCTTCAGGTCGCTTGTCGAGCCTGCCTCTGGTAGATCTCACTGGGGTCACCACGCCTGGGACATCCAGCTCCCGGCAGCAGCAGCAGGCACATTCATCCCGGCAGTCCCATGGCCTAGGCTCTGGAGAGATGACATCTGCTCAAGGCCTGGGCAGCCCTGCCTTGATTCGAAGCATGCTGCTCTCCAATCCCCATGATCTGTCTTTGCTGAAGGTACGCAATCCTCCGTTGGCGGGAGCCTTGCTCAGTGGAAACCTTGAGACATTTTCTCAGGTCCTGATGGATCAGCAAAGGGAAAGTGCCCTGAGAGAGCAAGAGAGGCTTCACCTCTACTGTGCTGACCCATGTGATTTGGAAGCTCAGGCCAAAATAGAAGAAGAAATCCGGCAGCAAAACATCGAGGAAAACATGAATATAGCTATAGAAGTAGCTCCAGAGAGTTTTGGACAAGTGGCCATGCTCTATATCAACTGCAAAGTGAATGGACATCCTTTGAAGGCTTTTGTTGACTCGGGGGCTCAGATGACTATTATGAGCCAAGCCTGTGCTGAGAGATGTAACATAATCCGGCTGGTGGACCGAAGATGGGCTGGGGTTGCTAAAGGGGTGGGCACACAGAGAATCATGGGCCGAGTTCATCTAGCTCAGATTCAAATAGAGGGCGATTTCTTACAATGCTCTTTCTCTATCCTCGAGGAGCAGCCCATGGACATGCTTCTAGGGCTAGATGTGCTCAGGAGACACCAGTGTTGCATTGACTTGAAGAAAAACGTGCTGGTGATCGGCACCACTGGCACGCAGACTCACTTTCTTCCTGAGGGAGAGTTGCTCCCATGTGCTAAGCTGGTAAGTGGTACTGGGCAAGAAGAGTCTTCAGGCAAGGATGGCAGATACTATTAAAAATTTGGTCACTGATTCAGGATGAAAAGAGCATCGAAATAGGTCATGAATAAGCCACCAACTTGAGGGAATCTAGGTTCTAGGAAGTTATAAACTGTGAGCTCACTGGCAATGTAACCATTAAAAACATCAGTAACAACTAAACCTGGCCTTGGGATCAAGTTCACAGATCTGTACCTATGCAAATCATGACCGCCTGATTTTGGCCCTGCTTTCTTTTCCCTCACCATAGATCACTGAACCTCATCCTAGGGAGGCAGTGGAGGCTCCAACTGATTTGCAAATAATCAATGAAAGAAAAAGCACCCTCTTCCTTTGTAGGCATGTCAAACTCATTTTCACTGGGGGCCACATCAGCCTTGCTGCTGCCTTCAAAGGGCCGAAATAATTTTAGAGCTGTAGAAATGTAACTGCTCCTTAACTGTTAAGGAAGGTGATGTGGCCCCCGGTGAAAATGAGTTTGACACCCCTACTTTAGAGACGCTGTTCCATCAGATTCCAGGGCAGCTTGTCCAGATCAGTTGCTATTTTGTAGAATTTGCTGAAAGAAGGGATTGCTGCAGACCCCACAAGGCATCTACACAAAAGTATTTCAGATCAGCACTTGCAATTATTTACATCAGAGAAATATGTCTATTTTCACAGATTTTATTTTCTTTGGGAAAGTTATTAGAAATAGTGGGCCAATTACACTCTCAAGTGGATCACGACTAATAAGCCTCTGTTTTGGGTGGCAGAAGGGCCCATTTCCTCAGACTGCATCTTCCCTTGCACTCCTCTGGAGTCTTCCTCATTGCAATCCACTTCAAAGACTATTTCGGCCATATTTGAGAGATTTTTCTTCTAGGGTAGCCTAAAATAATTTTTTCTTTCTCTTGAATTCAAAGAAACCTTGGTTATAAAACAAAGGCAATCAAGTAGATTTTTAAAAATTATGGTGCTGCTTAGTAGCCTAGTGGTTTTATTGAGGTGGCAGGAGGAGGTAGGGGCAGGCAATGCTCCGGTTCCCTTAATACTAATTTTAAATAGATCATTTGAAAAAAACAAATCTGCTATATAAATTATGCCACCACATAAATTTTGTTTGAAGAAATGTTCTCACTGTTAAAGTAACATTTGAAAACTTCTGAATGAGAAGATCTCTAAGACTTCTTTTGGCTCTATGATCCACCTGACAAAGCTGCTCTGCAATGTTAGTGGGAAAGGAAAGATCTTAGACTTAGTTGCAATGCATGGCTAAAACATGTGCAAGAAAAAGTTCAGCTGCCTGAGGCTGTCAGACTCAGGGAAAATCTTTCAGGAAAATAACCCATCAATACTGGTATGAGAAAGAGTCATGGACTCAAAGTCAAGAAATGCATATTCTGATTTCAGCTCTCTATCATTTAGGCAAATCAGGTCATATTATCTAACTCGGATTTCTTATCTAAAAATTGTTTTAGAGGGGAGAGCCATTTTCAGGTACAAAGATTATATTATGAGCTGCAGTAGCTCTTAAATTTTTTATTTTATCAAAAAGACCTAAAGCCATTCAAAACATTCTCAAAGGCTACAGAAAACAAAACAAACTTCCTCTAGAATCACCATATCTATCCCTTTCTTGATCCCCTTCTTGGTGAGATTAATAATCTTCCTGAAAAGTCACTTTTTTCCATTCAGCCACAGTCAGCTCACCTCCCAGTTTTCTTCCTCATCACAGGTTTTCCTATTCTCACATTCCCCAACCTTGTCTACATTTGCCTCCAGGCTGACAGCCAGAAGAGCTACTGAAAATGGCCAATGGTCATTTCTACTTTTTGCTTTTTCTACTTTTTGCTGCTAACTAAGCAGTCAGGACAAATGCAATTAACAAAATGAATAAAAAAATTCAGAGTAAATTCAGGAATAAGCAATTGTAAATTTTATGAATTATTGGGAACTGACTTGATAAATGTAAGGATTCTTTCACAGATAAAAATATGCAAAGTCCTTAGCATCTTCTACTGGAATAAGTACGCTATAAATGTACTTCATATATTAATACCATTAATTCTCAGAATAGATCTTCAAAATAGTTATCATTAGCCACATTTTATAGATGGGAAATTAAGGCTCAGAGTTATTATGAAACATTGAAATGCCCACTAGCTTAGTGTTTTTTTAAGTTTTCTTTTGACAATAGTCCACATTGTAGATCATGACTCAGTTTCACACCAAACACACACATGCACGCGCGCGCACACGCACACACACACACTGGTCTATCTCTGAAACAAAAAAAATAACATGTTTTATTTTTTGTAGTTTATTTCTTTGAAAAATTATACATTTTTATTTAAAAAATATGCCAGTCACATATCCCACTTGTATCCCACCAAGATGTTCTGATCCACAATTTGAAAACACTGACTGACCTACCAGGTTGCTCAATTCAAGTCTTTCTGATTTCAAATGTGAAGTTCTTTTCACTTCTTTACCAGACACATTTTAATTCCTGTGACTGGTGCAAAATTGTTACAGAATTTTATTTTATGGATACTAGCAACATACTCCCAGTAAAAGTAACAACCGGTAGCAGTAATCTTAATCCAGTCAACAATTACTTATTGAACATCCATGAAGTAAGCACTGAACCAGGTCTTTACAAGCAGAAATGAAGTGTTCCAGTTCCAGTTCTAGACCTCAAGGTGATTTCAGCCTGGCAGAGAGGTAAGAGAAAATCTTGTAATAAACTTAGAAAAAAAACAGTGTGGACATGACATTATTAATATGTGCAAATAAAGGAATAAATTTTAATTTGGAGGTTATTTTTAAAATAATAAGCCAGCAAAATGTACCTTCAATATGTCTAAAATGACCATTATTGATGTTGGAAAAAACAAAGAGGCATTCTCTCCTCTTAAAGTTTAGGTTGCTAATATACAATTTATAAGTATCTGCTATCAGAAATTAACCACCTGGAATATGATGAACAAATATTCATTTCCTTTTTCGCATTAGAAATCATGATAAAGTAAACCATGTGATGAAATAGACCTGTTTAAAATAATGAACCATTTTAAAAATCCATTAAACCCTTGGTTTCACCTAATGCCCATTTAAATACCCACCTCACTTAAAAGAAAGTCACTATTGTTGATAAACATGCATTTCAAAACTGTGTTAATGCATTCTGTTTCAGTTAAACAAGAAGACTGATGTTGTTTGAGATTAGGAGAGCATCTAATCTTCTTTCTTAAAATATGGGGTCATAAAATTGATCTTTTTCTAGGGGATAATCCACTCCTCCCAAAAGAAAAAGACAAATGAATGTCTTCATAGATGAATTCATCTTCACTGCAGGTACAAAATGTTGCCTTTTAAAGAGAACACTGCCATTTGCTGACATCCAACATTTCACAGAGAAACACTTGAGTAAATAATTGGGGAGTAATCTGGGATTCATACCAGGACACTGTTGGTGAAGATATTAATCAATGCTAACATTCTTTGATGTTAGCAGTAGCTTGGAAAATCAAAGAAGAGGAACAATGGTAAAAAGAATTAGAGGTGAATTGGGGAAAAAAGAAACCTAAAAATACAGGCTATTTAGTTTTTAGTTAACTGTCTTGGTTTAAGTGTTGTTTTATAAAGTGAGTGGGGCCTGGGCTGAGATTAAGGACTACTTACCATTCCACAATGCTTTATTCATCACAGGCAAGTTATTCAAAAATAAATAAAAAAAAAATTCACATGAGAGCCTGAGTCAAACTTGTTTTTGAACCACAATTTGTTTGCATGTTTGGGTCCCCGTTAGAATCTCAAAATTTCTAAGGGTCTTTTATCAGAAAATTGGGATTTGCAGCCCTGCTGGCATTTCTGTGTCTTTTCCACAGGACCCATTGAACAGGCTGTTGAGATGGGCACACCTGGGAGTGGGTGGTTTTGTTTCTTATCACTGCGCTGAATGTGTTCTGACTATTACTTTCTCTCACTCTCTCTTTCTGAGAAAGATTTTTTGAATCCAGGCTTCCTATATTTCTAAGCAACAAGGCTTATTCTAAGAACATCATTTGAAAGATCACAAGACAACTTCCTCCTATGTTAAGGTTCATAGGAGGCAATAAGGGCCTGCTCCAGATGAAGGTGAAGTGTGTATTTTCCTTCTGTTAACTAGTATATTGATGTTGTTTACAAATAACATAGACAGTGAACAACATAAGCAGATTCCAGGTAAAATAATCACATTTATCAAATTTTTACCCTATAGTATCAATTATCATTGTAAAATTCTTTCTCTGGACTTACAGCCAAGATGGAGGTGTAGGTAGATACACTTTGACCCCTCGCACAACCAAAAGAAGGACAACAACCAAGTTAACAAGTTACCAGAACTGCCAGAGCATTGAACTGTATGGAAGTCTGACAGCCAAGGAGTTAAAGAAGAAACATTCATCCAGATCAGTAGGAGGGGCGGAGATGGGTAGCTGGGATGGAGAGGACTCATGGCAAGGTGGCGGCTGCAGGACCCAGGCAGGTGAGGCGGTGGCTGGCATAGTGGGCAGTCCCACCTTTGCATGCAGATAAACTGGGAGGAACAACTAGGGAGAGAGACAGACCATACAATCCAGGGTTCCAGTGCAAGGAACTAAAGCCTCAAAACCTCTGACTGAAAAAACTTGTGAGGGTTCAAGCAGCAGGAGAAATTGCCAGACTTGCAGCAGAGTTCTTTGGAGAGAACCATGGGTCCCAGAACATATACCATATCACCCACCCTCCTAGTGCTGGGCATCTGCAGCAGAAGGGCCCAATTTGCTTGTGGGTAAAGGAGGAAGTGACTGAAAGCCAGCAGAGAGCTGAGTAAGTGGGATTGTTCCCTCTCAGACCCCTCCCCCAAATACAGAGCCACAGTGCAGCGATGTGGGTTGTCCCACTCTGGTCAATACCTAAAGCTGTGCTCCTTACTACATAATAGGTGTGCCTAGACAAAAAATATGGCCCAAATGAAAGGACAGATCAAAACCCAAAAATAGAACTAAGAA